CAATGAAGATCGGAGCCTCATTTGCTAAGGACAAAATTCAAAGAGTCTCTTTTTTATTTTAATCTACCTGACAATAGGCTCCTTGGTTAATTTAATTTGGCCCGCATTCTTGCGTGGGGATGTTACGCGGGATAGGGGGCGCTGGAGTCGTTATATCCCCCATTCCTCTCTCTTTCTCCATTCATTCTGATTGCTTTATTCATTTAGTGTTTACTGCGACTACTAGACTAGCGTGTGTTTCAATACAACTTTATTTATTGACATTTACTTATATTAATAGAAGATTCTCCTGGGAGACAAAGTGGAAAAGAGATGAAGGAACAAATTATAATTTATAAAAAGTTATATCCATATTGATAAAAATTTTAAAGGCATATTTAAAATATTCTGGAATTTTTATATACATATCCCCTCTAGTTATGGGCGAGGGAAGAGAATCGTAAAACTCGAGATAAAAAAGAAAAAGTTCATACGCCTAGACGTATATGTCGTTTTTAGAGAGAAAGAGACAAAAAATTATAAACTCAACAAATATATTTTCTTTTAGGGGCTGGCTCGTAGAAATCCTATAGCTCCCTATGCTCCAAACTGATGTATTCAAAAGTGCTTATGGCTACTATAGACAGTAAGAATTTCTTATTTTTGAAGGTAACTTTGCGATTGCCACTCGTGATTATATTTGTGACCTGCAATAGCATAAATATGTACAACTTAGAGAATGATTTGCATTTGCTCAAACCTTTGGCTATCAATTGTGAGAACTTTGTGATATACACATCGTCTAAGATTTTGATTCATTTATCTTCATAGTACATCAGATGTTTATTTCCTATACTTTTTCAACTAATTAGATAAGAATTTATTTGCATATTCAGAATGATAACACGAAAAGAAATGTTCAATTTTATCATATATACACCCAATAACAAAGCAGCAGGTAATGATATTGTAGCAAAGTATTTATTATTTTATTAACATAATATCCTTTTTATTTATTTTTTATTTTACTACTCTGTAAACTTCCCTCATTGCTTATCTTTTGTTTATCATTCATAGTTTGTTCTTGTCTTAAATATATTGCTGTCTCATCCTGAAGTTTGTCTTCCCTAATTTTCCACGTGGCAATATTATAGTATATAACCACCCCTAAAACAAACTGCCTTCTTACTTATTACGTTCTGACCACACACAATCTGCTTTTCAACTCAATAAAGAACTTGCAACTATATACCAAGTAACTGTGGGAAATGAAAACAAAGGAAGAAATTAATATTCTGAAAACAACTACAGAGGTATGACACACCTCCCGAGTATATACACAATATTAACAAACATCATCATAAATATAATTTTAGAAGTAATTAATCCAATAATATCGGGTTATCAAATTGAATTCATGAAGATAAAAACTCTACACAACCTATTAAATTATCATAAATTATATTTTAATCAATAGAACAAAATTAATTTATGAAGATTTTGTAGACTTTCGTAAATCCTTATTGCCCCTGTACAAATATATATTCAAATAGCCAAAATAGAAAATCCCTTGAAATTTTCAGACGTTTCTTAACAAACTCATACATTTACTACTAACAAACACAATAAATATATGGAATGGTGTCTCGCCTAAATCAGACAGAACGTGAGAATTATCCAAGGACAATTCTCTTAATCCATTACTTTTCATATACTGCTTGGCAGACTTACCGTGTTTCAAACCTACAAACCTGAATGTTAATTGAATTCTTACGATCTTATAATTTTAGCTTACTCAATAAAAGAACTTAAAGATGCAATAAATAGCACAGGACTGCGAAATTTATATTTTCGAAATTTCCAAAAGAATTCCAACTAATTTTTATGAAATTTGGTGTGTTATTTTCTAATTTGATCTTTGTATTTTCCCATCTCTTTAGAATATTTCGCAAATTCGATCTATATAAATGAAATAGAAATAAGGGTCTGTTTGTGTGTGTTTGTTCCTTTTACACGCCTAAAATGTGTGACAAATCTGAATAGAATTTTCACAAGTTATAGAACTACATCTGAGTGAGCATCATTGTTTTAAGCCCAGAAAATCCGATTTGGTCAACAAAACGGACCGATTAGTGTATTTTACGTCAGAAAAGGATTATGATAATACAGTATAAAATGTCATATATATGTCATATATACAGTATAAAATGTCATATATAAAATCATATTCATTAAAACAAGATCTATACCGGTTGAAAATTCACTCGGTTAAAGGCTGTGCATGGAGAGCGAAGCCAGCTATTGAATATATTTTAAAAGCTTAAAAACTCTCATTATATATACATTCATTCAAACCTCCATGCATTCCCCTGGGTGCGCGACTAGTAAATAGTAAGAAATGCAATTTTTGCTTCGAAAAAAATAACTTTATTCAATATACACACGATATTTAAAGTGAATTCGTACAAAACTCGGGCGTTACCCGGGTTATCGTCTTGGTTATATCTATTGATATATAAAATAAAAATGTTTAACTTTAATTACGTACTATATTTCCTTTGAAACATTTTTGACGCCTCTCTTTTATGTTCAATCTCGTTAATATCAAACAGTAGTTGGCAAGCATGTTCTTATCCAATCATCTTTGAAATTTGCGCCCCATATCTTTCATGTATTGATGGAACTTTTAACCCTTTTCTTCGTTGACTTATCCTAGATTTTCGGGGGGAACTCTACCTGTGAGTGAAGAAAATGCAGTTTGACTCTCATGGAGCAACCGCCGTTTTAATTTGTGCAGAATATTTTTTTTATATAAGCAGGATCCTTGTAATTGCCTAGAAAATTGCTGACAACATTTGTGAAGACAACCCAAGCTGCTTTTTCCTTTGGTGTCATGTTTGCCTCAAATTCATTATCCTTCATAAGCTTGCATTTTTGTTACCTGACTCAATATTTTGTCTTTTGTCCCAATGTTGATTCTTATCACGGCTGTCCCACTCATAATGAAACATGGGAACTTTATACATCGGTCTTGCTGACCATGAAGCATGGAGATCACTTTCAACTCACCGCAAATGATCCAACCGTGATCGGCATATTTCATTTTGCTGACGACAAGAGAAAGGTTTTCATAGCGTTCTTTTTTAATACACTGAATGTTCAACTGATAGAGATGTATACTGGTTTCCGTGATGAAGAAGGGCAGTTTTAAGGCTTCATTCAATGAATCGATAAACAGCCTCTATATATCTTAATCATAAATGATATTAAATTTGCCCATCAACTCGAAAACATCAGAGCAATAGACCAGGTTATTCTATTCTTCAAAGTATTTAACAAATTAATTTTCTATATCCCTGTACTAACAAAAAAGAAGTTCCCTTGGTCAATACGTTTTTTTCCTCTCATTATTAAGCAAAACAATTTAGCTGCCTCTTCCGAAATCTCTAGTCAGATCATTGAGTTAAAACTGATAAAAAGGCTGAGGTGAATCGACTCCAGAGGCTTATATTCTCTATCGGTATTCTCAACTACTGAATGTTCCTAGTTTGAAGACTCTTAAGAGATGAATGGCAATTCAGTTGGGGAGGCACTCGCACATCAGGTCCATCAGGAACGGGGTGTATGGCCAATTGAATGCTATTAGGATAATATATTAGCTACTGATTTCTGTCGTTACCACTAGGGATATGGCAAGAACAAAAGTAACAATCATCTGAATAGTTTTTCAACTATCTACATATCTTATTAATTCCAAAACGCAAAGTAGTTTTCTTTATTTTTAACCAAAGTGTGGATAATAGGAACACTGTAAACAAACCTTATGAGATGCCCACTAATTTTGATTGTCTCAAAGTTACCTGCCGAAATATGCGAAATAAAGTTGTCTTATATAGAATGTAATACTCCTCATGCTATTTTTAATAATACAATATTCGCCACATATGTGAGAAAAGTCATCTAGAAAATTTTCACGTCTCGATCTCGGAGCCATGCTTTACGAAACCCATAGGGTAAAACAACAGTCAACACTCTAGTAAAATTATACCATATTATATATGTAAAAACGTAATGTCATGCGAGAATTCTTAAATTATTACCCATATTAAATTAATTTTGATATAAATTAAAACTTTATTTTTAAAAATAAATTATTTTATAGTCCATTTATATACTAGTAGATATTGTTTTGAAATAAAAGGCCGTAATTATGAAACTAGAGGGAATAAATTCAATAAAGAAATAATCGAAGCGAATGTTCCTTAAAATCCAAGTAAATTTGAATTTTTCAAATAAACGTGACGTGATAGAAAATTTTATTGCTTTTTTTTTCAAATAAAAACCAAGTAATACATAACGTTCAGCTATCAATTCTTTTTTAAATTTTGGTCGCAGGCCTATGTTATAAGAAAAAAAAAACATTACTGTATTTTTTCATCAAAATATTTCTAGCCTAAAATACATCAATCAGTCCGTTCTTATTTCTGAATCGCATTTTCTGGGCTTGAAACTACGATGCGTGTTCCTTCAAGATATAGTTCTATTCCCTGGACATTTTCATTAAGATTGTTCAGATTGTATAGCAGTGTATAAGCAACAAACACACTCACAAATAGACCTATATTCATATTGTATTTATATAGATCGATTTTACGAAATATTTTGAATGTAATACATACAATATTATTTAATTAAAAAGGCATATATTGGATAAAAATATAATTTATTTTACCAATTTTACAGTTGGCTGAACGCCAACCTTTATCAAGGTATTATAACATATTCTTCTTCTTCTTTCTTATCTCCCTAGTACACGTGGTACAGGCCATGATAATCATGGTGGGTAGTTAGCGACTGCTTTTACTGTAAGTGCACCACATGTCTACACATGTGAAAAGCAGTTCGACTTTGCACTTACTAATGCCAGAGCCCCGTTTGGTTACTTGCACTCGCTGGTGGGGTTGGACTTTTGCAAGAATCGGAGGCCATTGGAGCATTTTTTTTCTTTAAACAGAAAAAAGTGTCCAATGCGGGAATCGAACCCGGGTCCTAGTGGTCGAAAACCAAACGGTTCACCAACGGCTGAACGCCAACCTTTATCAAGGTATTATAACATATTAATGTGTGACAACAACAAACTCAGCGCCACATAACGTCAACAGAATTAATTTTTAAAAATATTTTTGCTTATTGGTAAATATTGGTAAAATAAAGTATATTTTGATCCAATATATGCCTTTTTAATTAGAGATTTATTTATGGATTGCTCTATTTTCAAAACATACTAAAATATATATATAATTTTTAAAATGGCGCATCGAATAGCTATACTTGGATCAGTGCTATTCAAACAAATGACATTATTTCGACAAGTCTGTTCACCCATTTTCCTCTAGGTTTCCACTATTGTGAATATGTCCACAATTTAAATCACAAGAAGATCAACAATATAACAGGAAGTCTCAATTCATCATACACGATGTTCCAATATAATCCCAGCTTGGATTTTGACGATCTCAGCCCGATTCACAAATACATTCCTTCCGGTTCGTGGAATGAAGAATTCTTGCAGATATTGTGGTAAAATCTGTGAAAGAAGAACTATTGATTAGAAAGCCATTTCTATAGTTCGCATCCTGCCAACAATATGCATTAAAAGCTCTCCGGCGTGATTTAGTTGAAATGATGTTACTTTATCATTTGAAATCTATTATATTGTCTTTTAGTTTCTTAGTATATATTGGTTATTTTCCCCTATCTATTTTTAGCAGTTACTTTTGAATTTGATATCATATATCAGATGTTCTATAATAATATCAATTTAGTGTATGTGATTAATTGAGAGGAGAACCTCTTTCATTATTCGAATCTGGGAGACATCCAGCGGCTTGGTTCACAAGCAGACAGAATTGATTTGCTGAGAATGCATCCTTGGAAAATTTGAAATGAGAATTTAAGACCTTGAATTTCAGCTACTGGCTTAGGTCAGTCAAAAGACAAGACTTAGATTGCGCACATTTTCCTAAAAAAATATTAGTGAAATATCTCGAATGCGACAAAACAATGTTTTTTTTTAAATATAAAAACAGCTATCTTGATGAAAACTCCTTTATCTTTGAACTAGCGGATGTGCCCGGCTTCGCCCGGGTTTTACCCGAGTAAAGGTTTGTATAACGAACATTTGTTAAAACAATTCTCTATAAACATATAAAAAAAAAGATATATTTTGATGATTTGAAACTCGTAAATTTGAATCTCTCGATAAAGTGATCATTTTTTCGCGGTTCCTTGTGCCGTGTCATCCTGAATTTTGTATTTCCTAATTTTCTATATTACAAAATAATCGTTTTATCTAGTGAACATATTTTCCCGGTCCCTTGAAAAATACTCGATAAGTTGAATAAAATCATGGTCGTGAATCTCTCGATAAAGTGATCATTTTTTCCCGGTCCCTGTGTGCCGTGTCATCCCGAATTTTGTATTTCCTCGATAAAGTGAACATTTTTTACCGTTCCCTGTGAGCCGTGTCATCCTGAATTTTGTCTTTCCTAATTCTATACATTACAAAATCATCGACACGGGATATCATTTAATGTTGTCTAAAGGGGGTTAAGAGAGCAGTCTCTTTCAAATGAAAAATGCTTTAATTAAGCAGACGTTTAAAGTATAATATATGAGAGAGGCAATCTTACAGGTTGACGACGCTGTAAAATCCCCAGAGAGAGTGTTTTTGTAGCATCATGCTGTGACTCACACGATGACCCAAGGTCATCAGGAGCAGCAAACTAAGCTTATCTCCGTTTCAATGGTGGCGCTGCTTGCGAGTTGAATATACAAATCTGCAAATAACTCTAAGGATATTCAAGATATTCAAGAAATTATTTTTCGTAAACCTTTCCGGGGATACACTTAATAATATCTCAAAATTTCACGGCGATTGGATGTATGGTTTTTGAATCCATAGAGGACACACACACACACACAGACAGACAGACATTCAATTATATATATATAGATAAGGCACAAATTCGATGCACTTTCTAGCAACTTTCTCTGCAATTATATATATATATATATATATATATATACAGGGTGTACCGGGTAAATTGGGACTAACTTTGACAGTCCATAAAACAAAAACTACTTGAGAATAAAAACTTTTTTTTTCATTACGTAGCCATATTCATGTAAAAGGCAACAGTACATGTGTGCGCAGTGTAGTGATGAAGAGTAACCGAGAATTTGAAAATCGAGCTGCCATCATCGTTGTTCTGCGCGCCGGAAGGAGCCCCAAAGAGATAGTGGATTTTCTTAAGTTGCCCAAAACCACTATTTATCGTGTCAAGAAGCAGTTTGATGAGGCCGACAGTAACAAAGAGGGGATAGCTACAAGGAAAAAGCACTCGCGTCGATCGGACAGGGTAAGAGGCGAAGAATTTGTCGAAAATGTCAAGGAGAAGATTGATGGAAACCCTGGGAAGAGCATGAGGGCCATAGCCAAGGAAATGGACGTTGGCTCTATGACAATTGTCAGAACTATCCATGAGGACCTTGGTCTCAAGTCTTATGCCCTTCGGAAAGGTCAGTTGCTGACTGAGAATATGAAGAATAACAGAAAAGGAAAGGCTGCTGCCCTCCTCAACAACCAGAAACACGACTCTTTTGGCATGCTAAGGTTCTTCTCTGACGAAAAGAACTTTGACGTGGACCAAAAGGTAAATCCCAGGAATGATCGCTGGATCTGTAAAGCCCCTCAGAGATACCTGTCGTGATGCACACGAAATTTCCTGCCTCCGTAATGGTCCTTGGCGTTATCAGCAGTGAAGGTGATGTCATGCCTCCCCATTTCTTTGAGAAGGGCCTTAGGATGAACGCTGACACCTACATCAATGTTCTGGAGACCGTTGTGAAGCCTTGGATGGACATGGTGGCCGCAGGAAGGAAGTATGTCTTCCAACAGGACTCAGCTCCAGCCCATAAGGCAAAAAAGACACAATCGTGGCTGACACTTAACGTCCCTAGTCACTGGGGTCCTGATATTTGGCCCCCTAATTCTCCAGATTGCAATCCCCTCGACTACTATGTATGGGGCGTTGTTGAGAGAGATGTCAACAAAGCTCCTCATACCACCATCCAGTCTGTCAAGAAAGCAGTTCACACAGTGATGACCCAAATGGACAAGGTCATCGTCGCCAAGGCCTGTGCTTCATTCCGCACTCGCCTCGAGACTGTTGTAGCTAATAATGGAAACTACATTGAATAAATAAAAACTATATCCTTTTATCTACTACTGTGTCAAATTTCATTCGGATATTTTAATGTTTACTTGCAAAAAATTTCAGTTAAAATACCATTGTTGAAATTCCCAATTTACCTGGTACACCCTGTATATATATATATATATATTCATATCAGTGAAGTTAACACTCTATCAATTTTAGTAGCATAATCGACCCGCATTGTTTTTCTTCCTCTTTTGAAGAAATAATTTATTTAATTTTGAAAATATATTTTATAGTTCTCTTATTGGCTTCTACAACCGTAGAAATATCTATGAATAAATAAGCAATGATAAACATTTATTATAATCTCTAATGCACGAGGAACAGGCCATGATAATGAATGGTAAATGTTGGCTTCTGCTTTCACTGTAAGTACACCACATCTCTACACCTTTAGAAATCAGTTCGATTTTTGCACTTAAAATGTGCCAGAGCCCCGTTTGGTTACTTACACTTACTGGTGAGGTTAGACTTTTATAATACCTGGGCATTGAATAAAATATTTTTTCATAAAAAAATGTGTCTAATGCGGGATTCGATCCCGGTTTTTGACCGTCGGAAATCGAAGGTTAATACCATACCGACCCCACATCATAAACATTATCAGTATTAATAAACATTCATAACTTCAACTGTTCACAAAAGTGAGAAGGGTGTGTCAAATGTTATGCAGGAATCTTTTTCCTAAAATAAAAAAGGACGAAGAAAAGAAAGAATGTCTAACCCTTACCTAAACCCTTGTCGTCACGGACGCAAAATGTACCCTTGCGTAAGTCCGCTTCGTTGGTTGCGTTGAGTAAAAAGGATTTTCAGCTCCACCAGGTCTCTATAGCCCACCCTGGCGTCCTTGTTTGGGGATGGGTTACATGAGGCAGGGACTGTTGCCGCTGATATGATGGGGCCACAGAATATGTCTCACATCACACACTCAGTCTTGAATGTTGACATCTATTTAGACGATACTATTGTTTCACTGGTTATGGCAGCAATAGATAACTATTTTTCGTATAAAAATATATTTTGAAAATAAAGCAATCTATAAATATATATTTAATTAAAAAGGTATATTTTGATCCAATATATGCCTTTTTAATTAAAGAATATATTGTTGAATCAACCAATTCTACAATAAACTTCCCATAAAGCAACCATTTGTATTGAGTTTAGAAATTATATTTAATTGATGTCTAATATGCTGATCTGTTATTTGTTTGCGAGAAGGTAATATCGATATATGTATTTGTAAATATTTCTATAAACCTCAGGACTTATATCCATAGTTTTCTTAGACACCCTCATTGAGAATTCCTGAAAATTGTAGAAGATATTATAAGAAGAATATCTTAATTTTAGAGAGCGGTACGGTAGATTGAACTAGCTCAATCACTGGAAGGGATCACCACTGATACGACAGGTCCTCCAAATATTTTCCCATTGTATAAAATACACTGAATTTATTTAAATACAGATTCTGTGTTAATGATTTATATTTAATAGATTTATATATGTTAATATAAAGCAATAACGCGCAATCCATTTATCGGAAATGAAAACATTAAGGCACTAAATGTTTTTATAAAATATATCCATATAGAAAACTTTAATGAATATGTTCATCTTGGACCGATAAAAATCTCTTTGTCGTGATAAAATCAATATTGAATCTTGCAGTACGCGTCCATCTTTAACAACTAGATAAGTGCATATAAATTTATCCACGCTTCTTGGACAGATAGCTCACTCAATGTTTAACAACGACGTTCTTCAATTTGAAGTAACAAAACCTGCTATGACTACACTGGAATGGGATTAT